CACACACACACACACACACACACACACACACACACAGACATCTGCGCAGTGATGTTTTTACACTGCTCACACATTCATAGTGAAGGTCCAAATTGCCTGGAATGATAGTGAAAATTTCCCACTGAATGATGATAATTGCGGCCAGATCGTAAATGGACTGTAGCTTGTATTTAAAGCTACATTAAGTCATTTTTGACCACTAAGGGCCAAAAGAAGTGAAAGAACTGCCCTGATTTCATCTTATTAAGTCATAATGAGTACAGGGTAATATTTTCTAATTTTGAACTGCAGACCCAAAATAGCCCTCAGTGTGTGTTTGCTACCAGGGGGCACGGAGGCCTTTTGCACAGTAAGATATCTTCTTTGAGGCAGTTTTATAACTCTTACAGGTCATCAGATTTCTTGCAATTTATAGTTTTTTGCAGAATAAAATGGTAAATAATTATAATGATGCCAGGTGTCGACCCTTCCATGTATTTGATTGGCCAGCATTAGTGTCCACTTGACACTAATAGATACTATGATAGAATAAATGGTTAACATGTATTGGCTTTTGAAGGTTTTGTTCCCAACAATAAATCCTTAGGAAAATATCCATATTTTAAGCAGCTTGACCTTCGTCACCGGGACGTGCAAACTTTGTTTAACCAGGCTCTTTTCCAGGAAACATCATAAGTATAATTTTAGAGACGTAGAAATCAAATTTCCCTGTGCTGATTCTAGTCACTTTAGTCAAAGCTCAAAGGCTGGCAGGCACTGTATACAGTCACATAACCAAGTATCAAATCAGTTAAATCACTGAATCAGATTTATTCAGTTCATTAGTGTCTTGTGTTCAGGGCAACATCTCTTATTTGGTCCACTAAAAACTTGCATATAAATGCACTGACACCATTATATTGACAGAGTTTCACGATGATGATTGTTTCTGTAGTTATCATGATTTCTTAATGTGGTTTTAACGAGAAAGTAGAATGTTATGAATTACAGATCAGTTGAAAACAGTGGAGGTGGTACTCACAGTTGCTAGTAACAAACAAGAGCTGCTGGTGTTTTGGACAATGGCTATTCGGATTCAATACAGTCAGTTCACATCAAAGATCTGGTGACAAAAGGCAATTTTACACATGAACTTTGGACAATTTCAGGAGAATCAGGCTGGGATGTTTTCTGGAGTTTCCACAACAGAAAATTGACCATTTCAGATGCATTTGCTCTCTGAGAAAGGAGGTGAGAGAGAGACCTGAATGTGCACCAGGCAGCAAACATAAGACTTACTCACCAGCAGTGAATATATCAGGTTAATCTGACATCACATGGACTTTGTAAATAGGGAGCTGGCAGGTTAAACATTGGCTAATGTCCGATCTGGGCACATCTGTCAGGTAAGTCATACAGAAGTTCAGGGATGCAGAGAATGTGTGAAAATAGCTTAAGCTTTGTTTGTCCTCCACTGTAAATCTAATTTATAACAACAATAAAGAAATGCAGGTTTAAAGCTGGACAGACCTCCAGAGTTCGCATCACTGTATTATTCAATCAATCTGGGAAAACACCAGCTATTGTCTGGTATCTTAAGCCGCTGAGAAAAGCAAACAATGTTTAGAGGGCTTTGATGAAGCCAGCGGATGTTTAGACAATGGATAATGTCGATGTCCAGGTCAACACTTGTGTTCCACATGCCAGTCAGTGTTTCTAGTCTTTATATACATGTGCTTATAATTAAAACAGCTAATAAAAAGCAACTCTTGTCATACAATGGCTGACAAGACAATAGTAGAGATTGTATTTTGACCAGTGCGCTCTTCTTCTGCTCTCTACATGGACTGCATTAGGATGCACAGACAGAATTGTTCAGTACTGTACCTACAAAATGTCTACAAACAGAAACCAGAGAGCTGTGGGAGCAAATGTAGTATGTGTTGTCCATTGCCTAGACAGTCTACATGATTTTATGCAGGAATATGTTTACAGAGATTATGTTATTACCAGTGACCGCTTCACATTACACTGAGTTCTTTGATGCCAGCCTAATATCGGAAAGGGTGATTAACTTAGGTTAAAGCTTCTGCATCAAAACCACTTGAGAAAACAACCTCCTACACAGTCCAAGGCATAATTTAAAGTGGAAGAGACCGGTCAGGCTACCTTGCATGTGGTGAATATTTTGTAATTGATCAGTTAGATAACAAGAATATTTTGAAAGCAGCTAATAAACACAAGGCTGGCAGAGATATGTACTTGGATGCCTGTGGAAAAAAAAATCACTGAGTATGAAACATGCATATCTGCGTTCATTCTTTGTGCTCCTCAGTTTGTTTGTGTGCATGCAAAGCATCTGATAAAACACAATTCTTTACAAGCAGCAATGTTCTAATATTTTTTTCAATCTATTCAAGACTGTCGCTAAATTTTAAACAAGACCATGGATGGCTTGATCTCATATATGTCGGATACTTTGTACTAGGGCTGCTCGATTATGGCAAAAATGATAATCACGATTATTTTCACTGAAATTGAGATCTCGATTATTTGACGATATTTATTTAACAACAACAATGTATTGAATAATGACTTTAAAGATTGTCAAAAAATAATATAAAATAGTGTGCAAATACTGATAACAGTGCAAATGTTTGCAATATAAAAAATAAATGAAAAATGTAAACATCTATGTTTAGTGAACTTTGCAGTGTTGCTCTGTGGTGCAGCTACGACACTGTAGCAAAGTTTACACACTGTGTCTACTTGATCCACGTCTGACTCCGCGAACCCATAATGTTTCCACACCACTGAAGGTTTTTTTTACCTTTCTTTTCAACCAACGGCAGTCACTCTCCTCTCCAAATAACTTCTGCTTAGCTTTCCGAGCTTCCCTCGGGTCCTCTTAATCAGCGGTCCCCAACCCCCGGGCCTCGGACCGGTACCGGTCCGTGAGTCGTTTGGTACCGGGCCGCGAGAGTTAAGGCTCAGGTGTGAAATGTATAGTTTTCAGGGTTTTTATCGTGTTTATCGTTTACTCGGTTTTTCCTTGATTTTTACACCTGTGTTATGAATAAATTTTCTTTTTTTCGGTACCGGTACTAGTTTTATTTTGTTGCATTCATCCGCGACACCTTAAAGGCTGGTCCATGAAAATATTGTCGGGCATAAACCGGTCCGTGGCGGAAAAAAGGTTGGGGACCGCTGCTCTTAATTGTTGTGACACGTGTTCGAAATGCAGAGAGGTGCGCTCGATTTGCGCTCGATTTGCCACATGGAGCGGCGCGAGAGTAAAGCATGAGGGAGGGGCTAATAATCAGCTCAGTCATTTTTAATGATCGTTGAAAGCCCAGCTCGTAATCGTGATTAAAATTCGATTAATTGAGCAGCCCTACTTTGTACTTTCTTCTTATCAGGCGCATCCTCACAGGAAATAAGAGTTAACGAGGCAGAAAAAAGTACATACAGGAACATTTTTATTACATTTCAATGAGCAGAACTTCCTTTGATTTTAAAGATTTAGCATTTTCTTTCTTTTCTGCTTAGTTTTACGTCTACCCTTCCCTTGTGCTTTCACTTCAAGGTCCTCAGGATTAACACCGGAACTGCTGCACTTTATTTTTGGATCAAAAGACTTTTTCTTGAATTTTTCTTAGTGAATGAGCTTTTTTTAATCACAATCGAGAAAATCAATGAACGTCTACATCTACATTCTTTGTGTTTTGAGAAAATAAGAAGATGCTCTCCCAGTACGGAGCAGTATAAATATTTATGAAACAAAGAGTACTGACAGGGGGAACATAATTTTTCAACAGTTTTCATATTCAGACCTCAGTACAGACTTCAGATCGAGTGGTTCGTCTAACAAATTCTCCCTGTGAGAAATTTATTTGATTACTTTCTTTTGTGAAACTCTCCTGCATGGTTATCTAACCACTGTAATGAATTACATATTGCCTAGAGATTTAACGCTACAGTATTTCTCAGACAAAAAGACAAGTTCAGTGTGTGCCTTCAAAGATCATAAATCAGTTCAGGGATTTATCCACATCAGTGGCTTTTAATAGAACAGAAGGGAATGACTTGAGATGACATTCAGAGGCCTTCAGGTGTAAATTGATGTAAATGTTTTCTAACCTTTTTTAAAAAAAATACTATAATATAGTTATATATTTGAAGGTTAAGTGCGGGAATTTACTTATTAACATGTAATAAAAATAATTTAAGATCCATAGAAAATGTTCATCGGGTTAGCTGTGGGCAAAACACAGTGTAGACATGAATAAAATTTCCTATGCCGAATGCACACGCTTATTGCATGGCACTTTTTTTTTCTTTGTCTTGTTTACTGAGAAATGGACTGGCCCTCTTTGCAAAGGTCATTTCTGAGGTTTGACAAACTGGAGTGGATGCTTTTAATCAGTGCAGTTCAGTGGGGGTGCAGCCTGGTCCTGCAGAGATGAAAGAAGCTGCTCCTGCAGGAAAGCTGTACCCAAGTCATGTGGTGCTAACTGGAGAATTATTTATAAAATGATGTCTTCTTTACAGCCACTCACAGATCAACAGACCTCTTAGTAAGCTAGTCATGACACGTGATGAGCTCATTGTAGAAGTACTATTTGGAGTGTCACGGTAGCAGTCTGTTTTCGTCAAAAGTAAATGATTTAAGATCTGTCTTATTTGTTAAAGGTTCATATCATTTATTTTCCTGTGCCACTGCCATCCATCATTCTCTTTGACTCCTGGCTAAATACGGATCACTGAACCGAGCTCTTGTTCTTTGTGAGAGATTCCTGTATTACTATGAAGATGGGAACTTTAGTGTACTTTAATTAAATTTCCACACACCCTTTCAGTAGCTTGTTGGACAACCGTTTACCTATTGGGTCGAGATCTGTTGACTGTGGAAGCTGTTTGAGTACAATAAACTCATTGTCATGTTCAAGAAACCAGTTTGAGGTGATTTGAGCTTTGTGACATGTCTT